AACCAGGAATATGGCATTAATTATGAGGAGACCTTCTCTCCTGTTGCTCGCCACTGGGAGCTCTTTCAGATGGATGTCAAAAATGCTTTCCTTAATGGTAATCTTCTTGAGGAGGTCTATATGCAACCTCCCCCTAGGTCTACCTATCCAACTCATAAGGTTTGCAAACTACAACGTGCCCTCTATGGTCTCAAGCAAGCCCCCCGCGCTTGGTTTGCTAAGTTCAGTTCCACTATTCATGACTTCGGATTCACTTCTAGCTCTTATGACTCTGCTTTATTTGTTCAGACTACTACTCATAGTACCACTCTTCTTCTTCTTTATGTGGATGATATGATTATCATTGGTGATGATGCAGCTAGTATCCTTCGCCTCAAAAGTTTTCTCCATCGTCAGTTTGAGACGAAGGACCTTGGTACTCTTAACTACTTTTTAGGGCTTGAAATCTTCTATGATTCCACTGGTTACTATTTGTCCCAAGCCAAATATGCATCTGATCTTCTGGCACGTGTTGGTCTTACCTATTGCAAAACTACTTCTACTCCAGTTGATCCTTAGATTCGTCTCACTCCTCTCGATAGGGATCTTCTCTTTGATGCTACTCTTTATCGCCAGCTCATCTGCAGTCTCGTCTATCTCACTGTGACTCGTCCTGACATTGCCTATGTTGTTCATCTTGTTAGTTAGTACATGTCGGCTCCTTGCACTCCACATTATACTACTCTCCTTCGCATACTTTGCTACCTCAAAGGCACTCTGTTCCATGGCCTTCACTACTCTGTTTCCTCCTCTCTTGAACTGTGTGCCTTTTCTGATGCTAATTGGGCTTGGGACCCTACGGATCGACGCTCAACCACGGATTTTTGTTTCTTCTTAGAGGATTCTCTTCTTATTTAGTACAGCAAAAAATAATCCCTCACTGCCTACTCTAGTACCGAAGCTGAATATCGTGCTCTCGCTGATACTACTCAGGAACTTCTCTGGCTTCGATGGCTCCTTGCTGATATGGGTGTTTTTTTCTTCTGGTGCTACCTCTCTCTATTGTGACAATCAGAGTGCCATTCAGATTGCTCACAATGATGTTTTCCATGATTGCACCAAGCATATTGAGATTGATTGTCACTTCATTCGCCAACATGTTACACGCGGCACTGTTCTTTTTCTCCCTATTATTTCTACAGATCAACCTGCTGATATTTTCACCAAGGCTCATCCTCCTGATCGCTTCAGTGATCTCGTTTCCAAACTCAAAGTTAGTTTGATGCTTACCATCCTTGAGTTGCGGTGAATGTTAGTATATATTAATATATTGTATATATTAGCTGTCAAACCTTTAATAATGTTGTTTGGTTTATGCTTCTTCTTTTGGTTCTTTCGGCCAAAAGCCTCTTTGAACACTCTCTCATCCTCTATAAAAGGGAGTCTCTCTGAACATTGTATACACACTGAAAAACACACATTCAATATATCAATACACTCAATTTAGTCTCTTTCTCTCTACCAACTATCTTACAACATATAACTTTTGCAAATAATTTATTAGGTAGAAATAGAACTTTCAAAGTTGGAATGCGTGGTTTTAATTTTTATTTTCTGATTATCAACTTTTTAATTTAAAAATAATCTCCACCAAATTTGCAGCTTGGTGGAAATTTGTTCCTCAAACTTTTGATTAATTCAAATCCATTTTTATTTCAATGATTATATTAATTTATCAATAATCATCAATAAAAATAATAAATTAATTGGATTATGTAAACCCTAATAAAAATTATATTATTTTTAAAATATAAACAACTAATATGATTTTGATAATTTAAAAAAATGTAATTTAGAACTTGATCATAAGTTATGGGTTCGTTTGGAAGTGGGGTTAACTTTTTAATTTTTTTGGTTATTTAGCCTGGGGCTAAAAAAGCCTAGTTTGGAAAGGCTTTTAGTTTTTTTTGATGTTGAGAGAGAAAGAATGTAAGGATTATGGATTGGATGTGATGTTTTGTCTTTTTAGGTTAAAAAACCTATTTTATTTTTTTGTGACTAAAATAGTCAAAAAAATTTCAACTTTTACTTCTCAAACGAAGCCTATGTATGTTTAATTAATTTTAAATTTTTTCTTCAATGATAGATTTGGGGAATCACCACAAACTCTCACAACCTCTGCGTAACAACCACCCGGATAGATTAGCAAATTTGGGCGTTGCCAAGATGATCACCTTGTTTTCCATGAAACACCACCAGAAAAAACTAGTTCCCTACTTATTGAAGACATGATTGGTTGTAGTGTGTTGAGGAGACTAGTATCTCTCTTTTTGTTTTTGGAACTTGTTTCCTTGTGTTGCTTTAATTTCCTATAAATAAAAAAAAAAAAAAAAATGCACTCCTCCCAAAAAAAAACATATTTGATTGGAGACCATTCTCAAAAAAATGTTCATTCTAAATTAAATTAATAATTTTAAAATACTTGCCAATTTCTTATGACATATACATAGAAAAAAACTAGATAAATTTATATAAAATGACTAAATTGAAATTGAATTTAAAATTATATAAATTATTTAAACTAAAATATTAAGGACCAAAAAATATAATTTATCCTAAATCAAACTACCAATTAAGATGTTTTTTAATATTAAAATGGTTACTGGGACATTATTCAAATAAATTTATTCTACTAATTTGGTGTGTGGATGGTGTAATTTTTTTTATACTATAATGGGAAAATTACAATACAGTGAGACAGAAAAAAATTACAAAAATATATGGAGTGCAAGTGATATTGTAATGGAGTATAAGTAAAAAGTTATGGGGATGCTAGTGTAACTTGCACTTCTCCATGTTTGTGTAAAAAAAAATTATCCTACTAAGATATAATTCCCCCTACAATAATTGAATAAAAAAAAAATCTACCTATAATCCAATTCCTTTATTACTGCAACATTTATTTGTAATTTTTCATATAAATAAAACTTTTTAAGGTTCTCAAATATTGGATGAGTTTTTTTGTTTAAAATTTCTGATATTAAGATTTTATAAAATAAATTATATATAATATTTTCATAATAGTTAGGGTCACTTAATATTTTTTTACAGAGAATTCTCAACTATTCGTAGAGAAATTTAAACTTGTCACAGAATAATTTATCTATGTAACAAGTTAAAAAAAATTAATAATTTATCTATCTTGGTTGATAGTGGGTTATTTTGGAAAATTAGTTAAAAATTAATTTTTTGATTTTTTTTTTTAAAAATGTATAAAAAAAATAAGGATTTGGGATGCTTGTTGTGTCCCCAACATAGTAGACACTGTAGTGTTGCCCTATGGGCTCATTTCGTATTCCGTTTTGATAATCTGAACCGTTCATATTTTAGAGTACATCAAGTAGATTATACCTGTAAAAAATCAACTTAATCAGATATCGTTAACCATTTCATCCACTCATATTTGTATTTATTTTAATACATTAAAGGAAAATGATTGGTGGCCCTAAAAAATTTGCCCTAATGCCCCTAATTTCCAATTTTGAAAACTGTTTTCTTTTTTTCTTTCTTTTTTCCTTTTTTTTTTTTTTTTTACCTAAAGTGGAATTTCGGGGCATTCGAGCCCCGAAATTTAGGGCCCTCAATCACTTCCGTACATTAAATTACAATGTTATTTATTTTTGTAGATACAAATGTGAATGGATGAAAGGGCTAACGATATTCGATTAACTTATTTTTTGTAAATATGTTCTACTTGATATATTCTAAAATGTTAACGGCTCGGATCATCAAAATGAATCACGAAATAAGTCCATAAAGCAACACACAATACAACAAGCATCCTAAATTTAAAAAATAAAGAGATAATGTAACCAAAGATAAATTAAAAGCAAAAATTTAACTTTTAATCATATTCTCAAATTGGCACAGTGTCACCCAAATTCTCACAACAAAAATGTTTGGAATCCCCAAAGGTAGAAACTCTCATAACTCTCAAAATGATATAGGTTAATTATGTATTTTTTTTTTCTTTCCATTTTTTTGTTATAAGAAAATCCTCCCTACCCTCCCGCAGGTTCAAGGCAGCGCCCCTTGCAGAGATCACTAGGGTGTCCTGTTAGCCGTTCCGAGCGAGGAGACTATAACTTGAGAACTTGTCCCGATCTCTCATGACAAGCTCCGCTTAAGTCAGGATTCGTACAGCGGAGGAGTATTGAACCCACACCAAGTACTGATTAAACAACTTGAGGTCCAACCTCCCAACCAACTATGCTTCGTCCAAGGAGATTATAACCTGAGAACTTGTCTCGACCTCCCAAGACAAGTTCCGCTTAAGTTAAGACTCGCACAGCGGAGGAGCATTAAACCCACAACAAGTGCTGATTAAACAACTTGATATCCAACTTCCCAACTAACTATGCTTTGCCCAAAAAATTGATCCCAAAAAAAAAAAATTAAACTCATAACCCTAAAACTTAAACCCCAAGACCTAACCACAACGCAACCCATCATTAGATTTTTCTTCCCGTTTCTTTCTTTCCTAAACCAATAATGAAAGTCGTAGGGGTTGTGCTTTTTTTTTTGAGAGTATGTGCAGCATTGTCGTTCTCACAAGGCCGCGTGCACCATGCACGCATAAATAAACGTGACGTGAAGTGTTGAAAATGTTCTCAAATTAATATAATATAAAAAAGAAAAAAAATAAGACATTTAAAAAATATATATATTTAAAAATTATAATTCACATATATAAATAATTATAAATACAATTCGTACATAGCACGGGTGATATGATAATAATAATATAACTAAAAATACACCTGATAGACAAAGCTATGCATATGGAAAATGTTAGAGGTCCCAAATTTTCTATCAAATAAATGATCAAATGTCTTACATGGGTGTGGGGTCCACAAAATTGCAGACCCTACACTCATGTGAGACATTTGATCATTTAGTGTCCCTAACATTACCATATGCATATTACAATTTCTCCATCTTTTAAGGTCATTGTTATACAAATGATGGGACAAGCAATTAATCAGAATATTGAAAGCGACGGTCCATATTCTAATCATATTACTGTAATTCAAACAAATATATATCTTTTTGATTCATAGGAATTAGATTAGCAAACAAATATATATTATAACTTTTAGATTATTTATTTGCAAACAAATATATATCATTTTTTATTTTTTAATATCAAAATTGTTGCTGAAGAACACCTCATTGATATAAAATTTTGCATAAAATTATGGGAAGAATGGGATTTTCTTACCTTTGCTCTGTTTAATTCCCACTAGACAAGAACGTGAAGATGAAGATGATGGAGATGAATCTCCTAATCCTTGTTCTAACATTATTCACTCTCCTCTTCTTGCCAATGGCAGCGACTCCATAGTGGGTTTGAAGTACCCAGCAGTTTTCAACTTCGGCGACTCCAACTCCGACACCGGCGAGTTATTCGCCGGCCTCGGCGTACGACTCGGCCTTCCCTTCGGCAGTACTTATTTCCACAAACCATCTTCCAGGATGTGCGATGGCCGTCTCGTCCTTGATTTTCTAAGTAAATCCTTTCTTCACACTCTTGTTCTATTCTTCAATCACTCATTTGAAATCTCTGCTTTTCTTCACTATTTATTTTGGGGTCAAATTTTCTCTAGTTTGTGTGATCAATTTTGTGCTTTACTTTTGTACATTTTAGTTAAAAATCAAGGGCCAAATAGTCTGGAGATTCTATTTGCACACCACAAGACTTGTCAATTCATACAATTTTGATTTTTGTGTTTTGGATCATGATTTGGGGGGTGTGTTGTGTTGCAGTGGAAGCAATGGGGCTGCCATTTCTAAATCCATATTTGAATGCAATTGGGGCTCCAAGTTTCAGGAATGGATGCAATTTTGCAGCTTCGGGTTGTACTGTACTTCCAGCTACTGCACAATCTGTGTGCCCCTTTTCATTTGGGATTCAAGTGGCTCAGTTTCTGAGACTCAAGGCTGAGGTTCTTCAACTGCAATTAGAGAGTACGTTCTTAGAACTTTGAAAAATAACTACAGGAAATGACTCTGCAAAAATTGTTGGCTTTTAGGTTTACCATGCCTAAGAATAGAATTTCAACTGTGTTTGGATCATGAATTGGTGAAAGGAAAAGTAAAGTGAGGGAAAAAAATGAAGAAAATGGTTGTTTGGTTGTCTTTTCATTTTATTGTTTTTTCTCGAAAACAAACCAATGAAATGTTTGAAAGCACTCTTTATTTTTGTGCAATTACAGTTTTTGAAAATGCGGAATCCACTTTTTGGTGTTTTCTAAAGAATTAAGTTATTTAAAAAATAAAAAAAAATAAAAAAATAAAAACTGAATAATTTTCAAAAACGGTTCACCAAACAAGTTTTATGTGATTTTCAGAAAATAAAAACTTAAAACGAAAACACAAATTTAATTCCTGTTTGGTTTTTGTTTTCCTTTCTCTCCACAAATTCCTCCATAAATCCAAGATCCAAACATAAGATTAAAGCTAAGAGAAAATCTGGCATACAAGCAAAATACTATAATAATATTATTGTGTTCGTAATTTTGTTGCAGCCAAAGAACTTGACAAGTACCTTCCACCAGAGGATTTTTTCAATGAGGGGCTTTATATGTTTGATATAGGCCAGAATGATTTTTCAATTGACTTGGATTCCATGTCATTGCATCAAGTCCTTGCTTTGATTCAAACAATTTTAGCAGAATTTGAAGCTGGAATTAAGGTCTGCTTAACGCTCAATGTTTTCTTTCTTCATTTTTTAATGCTTGATATGACGGTAATTGATAATCAACGGCAAAACAAAGTCATTAGGGCTGAAAAGTGGAGGACATTTTCCTAATCAAAGTCTTACTAATGCCACAACACTACCACCGCCACCATCACCTTCTCCACCTCACCACCACGGCCATCAACCCACCTCCACCACCACAACACCTTCAATACCCCATCTTCACCACCACTAGTACACTACCACTACCACCACCACACAACACCACCACCAGTACCCCGCCACCACTACCACCACCGTCACCCCTCCACCACCACCACCTCACAACACAATCACTAATACGATCACCAGCATATCAGTTTCAATGTCGCAACCAAATATATTTCTAAGGAAAATGTTTTATGCTTATTTGAGATCAGTAAACTATCGCATTGTAACATTTCATTTCATGCAACTAGATGTCTTAGATCTGTTAGACTAATAGAATTTTAGTTCCTCAGAAACTATATGATGAGGGGGCACGGAATTTTTGGGTTCACAACATGGGTCCTGTCGGTTGCATTGCTCAGAAAATTGCTTATTATGGAACCGATCCACCGAAGCTTGATGAGCACGGGTGCGTGAGCTCACATAACCAGGCTGCAATAATTTTCAACCTGCAGCTCCATGAACTCTGCAGAAAATTGCAGAGCCAATACACGGAAGCAAATATAACATATACCGACATCTTTACAATAAAGTTTGATCTCATTGTTAACTATTCTCGGTATGGTAAGTACGTTTGTTTTAGCCTCGTTGCATTTCAAACAGACTTGAGTTTTTTCATTTTTGTTTGGTTAATACAGTGTTGATTCCTTTACTGTTTGTTTTTGTTTTGTTTGTCACAGAATCACAAAGCACTTTTGGTTTTCTAATACAGCTTTTGCACTTTTCGGTTTTCTAATACGGCTTTTGCTTTCTTGTTTCATACAGTTTCTATTAGGCAGGTAAGAAAAATAAAAAAAATCGGCTAAATCGGTTGAATCGGACCAAATCGGTTATATTTGGTATATTTTTTAACAAGAATCGGTCTTAGCAGTTTTTAAATTTGATTTTTTTCAATTTTCTGTTCGATATCGGTTTAAGCACCAGCACCTTGTGCACCAATCTAAACCGAAACCGACCGCTTCAACATATATTATATTTATAATATATATATATATATATATATAATCTAATAATATAATGATATTAATAAGTATAATAAATTATTAATCTTAATTAATTAACTTTATCATCTTTATAATCTAAGTTTGTAAACTCTTATTATATATAATCTTAACTCCAACTCATTATTCTTGAAATCTTAGTATTTTTAAACTTCTTTTGTTTTTTTGTTTATTTGGCTTTGGTTAATTTAGGAATTAAAAAGTATGTATTAAATAGATAGATTAGATATGTTTGAAATGGTAGAAAAATAACTAATTTAATGTTTTTATATAAATTAATGATTATATTTAAAAGTGATTCAAGTTTGAAAAATTTTAAACTGATTAAACCGCACTAAACCGAACGGTTTCAATTGGTTTGGTTTGGTGCGGCTTAATGGGAAAAACAGTCTGTATCAGTGTTCAAAATAATAAAACTAACATTATCGATTCAATGTAATTTTTTACCTAAATATCGATCACACCGAACCGATTACCTCCCTAATTTCTATTATGTCAATATTGTTTCTGTTTCTTACACAATTAAAATAGCACACCAAGTACTGTTTTACCAACAATTGTGACCTATACCGACATCTTTACAATAAAGTTTTACCTCATTGTGAACTATTCTCGGTACGGTGTGTCTTTATTACACTCCACCAGAGAGTTTTTTTTTTACTTTCTTTTTTTGGGTACAGCGGAATAGAAAATAAATCAAATAAAACGATTAATGCAAATTATATAATGTAGTGCATTGCTTTCGGCTAATATAATATGAATGATGTAGTGTCTTGCTTTCGGCTTTTTTCATCATGAGCCATTATTGTCCATTGTTCGTAAGAATTGTCCTCTCTGTGAGAGCTGAATAATGGCAAAATCAGAAGGTGCGTATCTTAGAAGACTGATATTAATCGGCTGTATCCTACGATAATGGGAAGCCGAATATAATACATATGCCGAATAAGTGTAGATCCTTAGAGCCGAATAAGAGAAAAGACAATGATAAAAAAGTAAGCCCTGGCCTCGAGGATCAAAAAGAACAAGTACAAATACAGGAACAATGGATTGAGAAAGGTATGTAACAATCACTTTTTGCTTAACTTAGTAAACAAGCTATCCTGAGTGTCTGAACTAACTTGTCCGTCGGAGTGCTAATTTCGACACCCCCGACTGGAGTGTTTGTATCTTTTCAGGTGATTAGCTGAGGATCACTGGCGTCTCCCAGAATCAGAAGAATATTTCCAAACCACTTCTCCACAATTGGCGCCGTCTGTGGGAATACTCAAATATATTCATGGCAGGTGTAACTGAAGATCCTCCGATAGCCACTGACGAGACCGCACAGAGAGATAACCTCACTCCAGCAAATATACTCGGAAAGGAAACCATCGCTGCAAGACGCGCCTTGAACTTCGACTCACCAACGACTTCAGCGCAATAGACAATGCAAGCGATCATGGAACAAGCAAAGCAGAATGAACAAAGGCTGGAGAACATGATCGCTGAAAATGAACGTCTCCATCAAGATTTGGCCCTGGAAGTAGTGAAATCCAGAGAAACCGTGCGCCAAGATCCCGAACGACCTTCGAGGGCAGGTGGACAACGACCTCGATCCCGACCAAAGGATACTGATAGTGACTCTAACTCATTACCCATGGAGCCCAACAAGAAGGAACGATCCGAAACTTCCAACTCCTCCTAAAAGAGTCTACATACAAGGAACAAGCGCAGATGAAGCAGTTCAGACGAAGAAGACCAGCATGATCCTTTTGTCCGATGGATTGCAAGGGCGGCCCTGCCCAAGAAGTTCAAAGCTCCGTCATTCACTCTTTACGATGGAAAATCAGACCCCACTGATCATATCCGTCACTACAAGTAGGCCATGACATTGCATGCAAACAATGAAGCCCTCACGTGCCGCATATTCCCCAGTAGCCTAGGGCCATTAGCTGTCAGATGGTATTACAAGCTGGAGCCGGCTTCGATCAAAAGCTTCCATCAATTACAGAAATCCTTCAGGGCCAGGTTCATCACCAACGAGGTACAACCGAAACAGGCCGACTCTCTCTAGGCTATGCAGATCCAGTAAGGAGAAACGCTCAGAGCGTATTCGGCGCGCAATTGGGAGTGCTTCAACCTCGTTGACGACGCTTGCAACGACTCCATGGCCATCACCGCCTTCAAAATGGGACTACATCCTGACAGTGCTCTTCACAGTTCCCTGACCAGAAGACCCCCCAAAACAGTCTAGGCGTTGATGAAGAAAGTTGAAGAGTATTGCAAAGTGGAAGATGATGCATTGAGAATAAAAGTCAAACAAATATCCAACAAAACGGCCCCCCTTGAAATTGCTCAACCAATAAGTTCCATGCCACCTCCGAGCCCTGAGCCACGGCAATGCGCTAAACGAGACAAAAGACAAGACTCTCACCGATCAAGCGATCAATGCTCCCACCGGACGAATGAACAACTGCAAGTCGACAGTAGGCGCTCGAGGCGTGTCGACAAGAAGTACACAGAGTTGTCAGAATCAATCACTGCAATAATGACCAAAGTCCAACACCTTCTATTCTTCAAATAGCCGTCAAAGATGGTGGGGCCACCTGACACGTGAAGAATGGATAGGCGGTGCGAGTATCACAAAGATCACGGCCATGAAAACGAGAGTTGTTACGCATTAAAGGATCACCTGGAAGAACTGGTGCAAGACGGTCGACTGCAACAGTACGTGAGAGAGGAAAAGCCAATCAAGGCATTAGCCTTGAGGCAGGACTCACCTCCATTTGGCGTGATCCATATAATCTACAGCCTGCCTGCATCCCCAACCGTGCACACAATTCAATCACATTCAATCCCCCAAAAGCAACGTATTCCGACCGAATGGCCCAGAGAAGCTCCGACAATTACTTTCAATGACTCCGATCTTAGCGGCACAACAGCTTCCCACATCAATCCGTTGGTCATCAAATTACGCGTAAATCAATTCACCATTAAACGCATTCTCATAGACCCAGGGAGTACTTCAGAGGTTATGTATTACAAAACTTTCATCAAACTCGGCTTCAACGAGTCAGATCTGTCTCCGGCGCCTCACCCATTGTTCGGCTTTAATACGAATCCTGAGTACCCGTTAGGGAAGATCATACTACCTGTTCAAGCGGGCTCCAGAACGGTCAAAGTAGAATTCCTGGTCGTAAAGCTCCCTTCGCCGTGTAATGTCATCATGGGGCGAACCTGGTTACATATTATGAAGGCCGTTCCAAGCACTTATCATCAGCTTGTGCGCTTCCCGACAGCCCGTGGCTCCGTGGCTCCCCGCAATTGCCACAAGCAGAGATTTTATGAAAACGATATCACTGACCCGACCTGTGGGCTTTGATACTTGTATATATATCACTTCTGCAATGCAAACCATTTTTCTTCGTCGCTCAATTCATTTCTCGGAGCCCCCCTTTGGTGCATGACACCTTAGGGCCGATTAAATTCTCCGGATTCGGAGCCCCCATTGGTGCATGACACCTTAGGGCCGACTAAGACTCCGGATTCGGAGCGCCGTTCGTGGATATCACGATTGGCCAAACTAAGTCTCCGGATTCAGAGCCCCCTTTGGTGCATGACACCTTAGGGCCGATTAAAGTCTCCGGATTCGGAGCCCCCTTTGGTGTATGACACCTTAGGGCCGACTAAGCCTCCGGATTCGAAGTGCCCTTCGTGGATATCACGTAAGGCCGATTAAAGTCTCCGGATTCGGAGCCCTCTTTGGGGCATGACACCTTAGGGCTGATTAAAGTCTCCGGATTCGGAGCCCCCTTTGGTACATGACACCTTAGGGCTGACTAAGCCTCCGGATTCGGAGCGCCGTTCGTGGATATCACGATTGGCCAAACTAAGTCTCCGGATTCGGAGCCCCCTTTGGTGCATAACACCTTAGGGCCGATTAAAGTCTCCGGATTCAGAGCCCCCTTTGGTGCATGACACCTTAGGGCCAATTAAAGTCTCTGGATTTGGAGCCCCCTTTGGTGCATGACACCTTAGGGCCGACTAAGCCTCCAGATTCGGAGCGCCCTTCGTGGATATCACGATTGGCCAAACTAAGTCTCCGGATTCGGAGCCCCCTTTGGTGCATGACACCTTAGGGTCGATTAAAGTCTCCAAATTCGGAACCTCTTTTGGTGCATGACACCTTAGGGCCGACTAAGCCTCCGAATTCGGAGCGCCGTTCGTAGATATCACGATTGGCCAAACTAAGTCTCCGGATTCGGAGCCCCCTTTGGTGCATGACACCTTATGGCCGATTAAGTCTCCGGATTCGGAGCCCCCTTTGGTGCATGACACCTTAGGGCCGATTAAGACTCCGGATTCGGAGCGCCTTTCGTGGATATCACGACTGGCCACATTAAGTCTCCGAATTCGGAGCCCCCTTTGGTGCATGACACCTTAGGGCTGATTAAAGTCTCCGGATTCGAAGCCTCCTTTGGTGTATGACACCTGAGGGCCGACTAAGCCTCTGTATTCGGAGCGCCGTTCATGGATATCACGATTGGCCAAACTAAGTCTCCGAATTCGGAGCCCCCTTTGGTG